CATTCCTAGCAGCAACGTATCAGGACTCCCATTTCTCCATATCCTCACCAACACTTGTTATTACCTATCTTTTTGATTGTAGCCATCCTAGTGGATGTGAAATGATGTCTCATTTTGGTTTTGATATGTATTTCCCTCAGGCTAATGATATTGAGTCCATTTTTGCCCTGGTACCTTTGGTCCCTTTCAAAAGCTCATGTCTTATTTTATTTCCAGAAAATGTCCTTGTATGATAGCTTTGTTTTACTCTTATGTTTTTCTTCTTTGGGGACCTTGATGATACATATGTAGGCTCTTTGTCTTCTGTGTCTCTCACTTTTTCTCTGAGATTTTTACTTCCTTTCCAAATTTACTCTCGGTTCTCCTGTTTAAATTTTTTTCCTCAATGTCCTTTTTTGAATTCTTTGTCTAACCTATTTTCCCTTAGACATCATATAATTTAGTTTTCATATCTCAAGATTGTGTTTTTCTCTCCTGAGTTCAGTCAATCCTCATTTTGCTGCTTTCTATTTTGAGCTCTTCAGTATCTGATTTTTAAATATTCTTTATAGCTGCCTTTTGCTCCCTAAATGATATTTCATTCATGTTAAGAGAACTGTGCTGCAGTTTCCTCTGTGTTTTGGTTGTATTTTCATTAGCTAAAACGGTTTGATTATTATTTTGTTCTGCAGTTATCTTATATGGATGTCAGCTGCCATTTGCTGTTTATTCCAAAAAGTCTTGGATCCTCCTAAACCAGAAATAAGAGGTGGTTCAACTGAGGGGAGACGACAGTGTAGGAGGCCTACGTAATAGGTCAAGGTTCAAGCAAGAGCTCAGAAGGAAGGAAGGAAGGATGATTTCTTAGGAAGGACATCTCTGGGGGGAAATGGAAATGTTAGATGACTGTGAGCATTTTAAAACAAAGTGCTGGGGGCGCCTAGGTGGCGCAGTCGGTTAAGCGTCCGACTTCAGCCAGGTCACGATCTCGCGGTCCGTGAGTTCGAGCCCCGCGTCAGGCTCTGGGCTGATGGCTCAGAGCCTGGAGCCTGTTTCCGATTCTGTGTCTCCCTCTCTCTCTGCCCCTCCCCCGTTCATGCTCTGTCTCTCTCTGTCCCAAAAATAAATAAACGTTGAAAAAAAAATTTAAAACAAAGTGCTGGTAGAAATATGACACATTTAATGGAAAAAGTAAGGACAGATACGATGAAATCTGTGCAGGTAAAAAAAAATCTTTAGCTCCAGGAAAAACAAAAGCTGTAAGAGAAAGGAAACATACCATTGTACAGAACTCATTAGTAAAGAATATTTGACTTAAATTATGAAAACTGTGTTATAGCAAATATAAGGTGGATGAGAGAAAATAAGAAAGGGGTATAATAGGGCTAAATCCTCATCAAACACAGTAAAAAGTCAGCAGATCAGATCCCATATTCATAAATCAAAAATAACAGTACAAGTATATTATTTGAAAATATGTAAATAACATAAGATAAAGGTAAAAATTTGAACATGAAAGCCTCTAATAAAAGAGATTATGGGGGTTGAATGGGCCGTAGACTCCTTTGTCTTACAAGTCTTTTAGTACTACATGATTTTTTTTTAAGCTTATTTATTTATTTTGAGAGAGAGAGCAAGCCAGGGAAGGGCAGAGAGACAAAGAGAGAGAGAGAAAGAGAATCCCAAGCAGGCTCCACTGTCAGTGCAGAGCCCAACATGGGGCTCGAACTCACAAACCGGGAGATCATGACCTGAGCCAAAACCAAGAGTCAGAGGCTTAACTGACTGAGCCATACAGGCGTCCCTAGTACTACATGATAAAAAAAAAATATATATATATATATACATATTACTTTAATAACATAAAAAATATAATTTAAAAAAAAGATCAGTTGAAATGCCAGCTGGGAGATAGTACCCTGAGAGTTTATAGTATTGTCCTTCTGGGTGAAGTGCACACTCTGAGCCAAGGACCACTCCAGTTTCCCCCACAGGAGACAGATGTCAGTGAACCAGCTGGTGAAAGCAAGTGTGGCACCTCTCAAATTATACCTAATGATTCTCCTCCAAAATGTGTGCTTCCCTTTCCTCCACATCAGTTGGTTTAGATATTTAAGTGCAGTACTCACACCAGAGCCTATAACAGTGGTTCCTACGGACTCGAAGCTGAGATTGGTGTGGTCCTCTCGTGCCACGACAATGTTGGCTGGTGACTGGTCCTGACCAGCAAGGGGAGAGAGGCAGGAAGAGTATGACTAGAGCCTAGGAGATCTTCTGGGGCACCTTATCACTCCATGCCAGAGATACACGCTAATGGAAAGGTACTGCACTACGCAGGCAGGTCCACTAGGGCAGACTCCTTGAGAATAAAGATTTGGTTCACCCTATCGGGTAAAGAATCCTGGCCAGCTTGAAGGTAAGGGGAACCTGGAATGGGTAATGGAGAAGGGAAATAATCAATGTCAATGAAGCCTTACGATGAGGTGCACCACTTTAGTGGTGTTTCTTTTCTTGCTGTGTCATGTACAAGTGTAGATTTTTTACCTCTCGTCCTTTTCTTTCATCTCCTTTCATTATCGTATTTAAAGTATATTAGTGATGGTTAGTTTTAAATTTTAGTCTACTGCTACAACACTGAGATAGGATGACGATGAAAGTTAGAGGAAGAATGGACACTCAGCTACAGATGTGGACTTGGGTGCAGGGAGCCAAGGCCATGCTGCTCCAGCACTCTGGTTAGGGTGCATGCTTGCACTTCTAATGCCACCATTAATTGTTTTTCAATTCTTGTGATAATAGTTATTCACCCAAGATTCAGTTTTGTACAGGACCATTGGCTCGTCCCGCTCTAGGTCATGCACCAGTGTTCTAGCTACCAATAGGCAAGGAGAGTCCTGGTTTCTATCGTGGCTTCCTCTAGACCCATTGGCTTCTAGTGTGGGAGGAGAGGCCCAGACTCCTTCCAAGACTGAGAGTAGGGGAGGCTCCCTCCAAATTGGATATTCAGATGCTGGGTAGCCAACAGAAACTCCATGACAGTCCATCCTTAAGTCTGCCCAATGCAACCATCTCCCCTACAACAACAACAAAGGCACTCATCCTCTCCTCAAAAGATGACAGCTCAGTCTAATGAATTATTTTATCTGCCCCCAAGTCCACATCTGTAGGTGATGATCCATTTTTCCCCTTTCAGGGGATTTCAGGTGGTTCCTCAAAGGTAAGATTACTTGTCAAGCAAAAACAAAAGATGCTCAACAGAAAATTACAAAATGTCAGAGCTGAAAAGAACCTTGGGAGTCATCCATCCTACCCCCTCTTATTGATGAGTAAACCATACAGGGTAGAAAACGATAAAGGCCATAGGAAAGGTACACACCAAGTGCTGCAAGTTTCAAAGGAAGGGCAGTACAGATCTCCTTGAAATTAAGGGGAGGCTTGATGAAGGTAGGGGGACCTAAGCTCTGACCTGACACACAGTGGGTGGACTATCCTGGTCTTTTGCTAAATTCTGAAGTACTTTTCTGCTCATAGTCTGCTTCTCTTAAATTCCTCCAGCCATAACTTACTTGGCTTTTTGAGATCTTACTCGTTTGGCCTTGATTTTTTTCCACATTCCCTTCATTTGGATTTTGGTGTCCTTGACCTGGTTGCCTATTTGGACTTGGCCCGGTTCTCTTTCCAGCTATGTGTCTTGGCTGGAAAACACCTGAGTCTCAGTCCCTGGGATTAGGTGACTCCCCCAGAAGTCTTAGGAGATTCAGAGAAGTCCAAGGGTCACAAACGCAAATGCCTTCTGATTTCAAGCAGGTAACAAATGTGTGAAGTGGCTGGCTGTTCATTAATACACAAGTGGTGCTCGCGGGATTTAAATTTTTATTGAAAACCAAAAGCAAATAAAATTAATGTGCTGCCCAAACAAAACCATCTGTAGGCTAGTTTCTGCTTTTGCTGTCAAAAGTTCGTGACTCTTGGTTCAGACAGAACCTGTAGCTATCAGGGCAGGTTCAGGAAAACCCAACAAGTCTTTATGTCCTAAACTGCGTGCGGCCCAGGAGTTCCGTGATAAGGAATTTATTACGCTGTCCACAGCTGAGGCTCAGACATTTACAGACCTGTTTTATAAATTAGTGAGGCATTCAATGCAACCCATATTGCCGAAAGTGCTGTTGAAGCAAAAGGATCAGAAAGGAGGAACGAGTCTATGGGTTACAATGTGACCCCTTCCTTACCCCACGGTGGTAGTTCCTCTAAGCCCCAGGATTCCGCTGGGCAGTAGACGCTGAAGCGCTGGGTCATTAGACTCCTAAGTCTCACTGCTGACGGGGGTGATGCATCATAGCCTTCCACAGTCAGGATCTCACTTCCCCTCGGACTTCATCACCGATTTCCTATCAGACCGGGCTGCTCCCAGAGCCTCTAAGTGTCTGCCGGCCCATTATCCAACCCTTTCCACCCTTTCCGAGCCTGCCTAGGTCCCACCTCACTGCTGAAGCTGTCCCCATCCACTCGTCCTGGACACCGCCCTCCCAACCCCGCGCGCTGGTGCCCGGTGGCACCGTTTGGGCCAGGGTCACACGCCTGCGTGTTAAGATGCGAATGCGAATACGCACAGTAAAAAACTCTGAAACCGCCTCCCCGCCCCCCCCCGCCCCGCCCCGCCCCGAGGCGGCGCTCCAGAAACACAACCGCGTGCCCTGCGCAAAAATGAATGAATGAACACGTGACTCAGAGTGCGACCTACACGCTGGGAAAGAGCACCCTTCCACACACCTCCAAGACTTCATGCCCCCGCAGGACCTGACTCGCCCAAAACAGGCGAACCTGACCCCCGAGCGCGGAAGGCGAGGGAAGAAGGTTGGACGAAGATCAGGCTTCCCACAGGCCAGAACGGCACGAGGGGCGGGCTCTTTTTCGAACAGGTCGCATATTGGTTGAGCCTCCAGCCTTAGGGCTGGGATTGGCCGCGACGCGCCAAAGGATGCCTCTGCGCGGAGAAGGGGCGGCCCCGAAGGGCGTGGCCGGGGCTCGGTCCCGCCCCGGGCGTAGCGGGCTCGGGCGTGAGGGCCTCGGTCTCCACCTGGGACCCCCGCGTCGGGGCCGCAGCGTCGCGTTGCTGGCGCCGCAGGCCCGGTCAGGGAGTCCGAAGCGCTTGAGGCAAGGTAGGCAGCTTCCCGCACGGGGGTCGGGGTTCTGCAGCTCCCGCCCGCCCGTACCCTCTGCCCAGCGGTCGCTCCAGGTCTGCGAGGCCGGGCTGGGCGCGTCGCCGGGCCCCGAGTCCCCCGCCGGGAAGGGCACAAAGGCTCCTGGGGGGGGGGGGGGGCGGGGGCGCCTCTTGCCTTCGCCTCCATTTTGCAGGCGGCCCGGCGGGTGCGGGGCGCGGCGGCCGGAGGCCCGGGTTGGAAAAGCCTGAGCTCGGTGAGGCCGAGCCGAGGGGGCGCGCGTGTCCACGTATCCTCCGGTCCGAGCAGCTGCGCGTCTGGTTGGCCCCGGGCGAATTCACTTTCCCTCGCGGCCTCTCCCGGGCGTGTGCTGTTTACCCTGTGCGCTCGCCGGGGCCCAGGGAGTAAGGGGCTCGCGCTGCTCCCGGTCGGGGCTAACGCCGAGACCCTCGGTCACTAGCTCACGGCCCTTCCCACGAGAAAGATGGAGACGAATGATGCTTTCTTGGTGCCGTGAATGCAGCAGCCCCCGGCTGCCGAGGGGAAAGCGCAAAATGTCTTGCTTTTTTGCCTAGAGAGGCCACCCTTTTCGGCTGTCATCACTAGAAGTGTTCTCAGCAGCCTGGAGGCACATGCTCAGGCCCTTTGTAATTATTTGGTTGGGTTCGGTGTATTGTTTGTAATAAAAATGAGCGGAAACCTGCCAGTGCGGGAGCAGATTGGACCTCACTGGGAATTCCTCGCTGGTGGGGGGTACGGAGGGGGAGTGGGGCCTGCACGATGATACGTTGTATTCATAAATACCCTAACAGCTCCCAGATCTAGGGTGGGAAGGATGTTGTTAAAATGCCAGGCAAAATATACTAGATCAGTTTGCCGAGGGTTTGGTTAAAAGAAGTACAGGTCACCACTTCTCATCCTGTTGCCTCCATCACCTGGGTCAATTCTAGACCACTCAGTACTGAAAAGAGCAAAGAACTCCGTTTCACCTCTTCTGAAAAGCTTTTAAAGCTCTTCCCCACCCCACAGCTAATAATCTCTTGTTCCTTTAGGCTACCTTCTATTGCCTCTTTTTTTTACAAGCATCAAGTTGTGTGGTTTCCTCAGCTCCTAGCACAGTGCTTGGAACAGAGAAGGCACTCAGTGGATGAAGCCAAAAGAAAACAAAAACAGCAGTGTAGCCAAAAGTTGACAAAACAAAAATTTTCATTCCTTTAATTTGTTGGACCAGTTATTATTACTGGTTAGGGAAGCTGTTGACTTCTGGCTCTCTTAAGTCAAATCAGGCTTTATCTGCCAAGTTACTAACTCTGGATACATTATTTAACTTCTCTGTGCCTCAGCTTCCTTATCTGTAAGATAGGAGTTATAATAGCACCTACTCCATGGGTTCTGAGGATTAAATAAGATATTGACATAGGGGTGCCTGGGTGGCTCAGTCGGTTGAGCGTCCAACTCTTGGTTTCAGCCCAGGTCATGATCCCAGGGCCCTTGGTCGAGCTGTGCCTAGGGCTCCACAGTGAGTGTGGAGCCTGCTTAATATTCTCTCTTTCCCTCTGCCCCTCCCGGGGTTCCCATGCTCTTCCCTCTCTCTCAAAAAATAGTACAAAAAAAAAAAAAAAGATATTGATATAAAGTGCTTAGCATAGTTCGTGGCTCAAAGAAAACGTTCAGGAGCAGTTAGCAGTTGTTAGGATAAAAATAAACAGATACTTCAATAGATTTACTAGTATTAAGTATCTATATAGTACTTGACCCTTCAGGGTCTCTCTGCCTTTTAGTCCTTATCTGTGGCTTGATTTTAAAAAGTCCTTAAGCCTTTCGTGATTTTCCCCCCATAGCAAAAGAATTCCATAGGAGACTATCTGTTATTCATTTAGAGCCTTACCACCCACTACAGATTGATGAAGTGCCAGATAATAACTTGGCCAAGTACTGCAGTAGTAGCTGATATACTCTTAATGTGGTCTGATACCCAGAATGGTCCTGTAAGAGCAGAGGAGTAAGACAGATGGGGCCTGTTGTGGCTAACAGGAAATCTTCAGGATGATTGGTTCAGCCAGAATGGCAGAGCTTGTGGAGATGGACTTGGGGTGGCTTCTTTTCTTAGAACTTTGTTCACATGAAGAAACTGTCTCCTGTCTTTGAAGTTGTTCACAAACACTGTGAAAAGTGGAAGAAGCCTTCTCATTGGCTTTAGACCTGTTTGCCAGACCTAGAGGTGGCAGATACAACCCCGAGGGGCTATTGCCTCACTTCCAGGTTTTCCTGTACCACTTTCTGGGGGCAGGAAGCAGGCCAAGTTGTACATTTCCTGTCAGCTGGAGGTCCCCTTGAACTGTGTTGATTTCTCTTAAATTATTTGGAGTCATCGAGACAAATGCTGTCTGTTTTTCACTTGTAACTATCACAGGAGAATTCTGGTCTCTGATTCTGTTTTTAATGTAGGCATAATGAATCTTGAATCTTTTCTAGGGAATACGGTTCTTTCTGGATACGCCTTTCCAGCTGTAACATACTTATAATTAGCTATTATATTAAAAACCTGCCACAGATGTGAACTTTTTCTAGTGTCCTATTGCAAAGACTTTAAGGACATGGATCGTAAATTTCCTTCCCAAGTGTACCTGGCATAAGATAGGCAATCACTGGGGCACCTCGTTGGCTCAGTCAGTAGAGCATGCAACTCTCGATCTTGGGGTTGTAAGTTCGAGCCCCACATTTGGTGTAGAGATTACTTAAAAATAAAGCCTTAAAAAAAAAAAAAAAGAGAAGCACTCAGTGAATGGTTACAAAGCCACTGTAGTGGTTCCTTTCCAGCCTGCTGAAACAGGCTTACTGATTAACCTGGTGCTCCTGAAACATTACTAATCGCTGGAGATCTTGCTCAAATGCAAATTCTGATTCCAAGACTCTGGGGTGGAACTTTAACATCTACATTCCCAACAAGCTCTGAGGTGATGCACATACTGCTCGTCTGTAGACCACACTTTGTAGAAAGGTACTAACATAAGTACTTGCATTTGGTTTTTAGAAGTATTGCTAAAAACAGATTATGTTTCCTTATGGGTTTGGATTTATGATCTTTTTTTTCCTATGATGTTATTCTATTTTTCACAATTCTTTTTTAATTTTTAATTTTATTTATTTATTTTTATTTTAGAGCATGCAAGTGGGGGAGGAGGCAGAGGGAGACAAAGAATCTCAAGCAAGCTCCACACTCGGTGTGGAGCCTGAGCTCTAACTCACAACTGTGAGATCATGACCTGAGCCAAAATCAAGAGTTGGAGGATGCCCAATCGATTGAGCCACCCAGGCGCCCCTGTTTTTAACAATTGTTATATTTTGTTCCAAAAAATGATTTGAGAAATCATTCCAAGGTACTTTCAGTAGAACAAGATTTTTCAGTAAAAGTAATTGAGGCAGATAGGTTGAAAGAAAAGTAGGAGGAAGTCAGGGGTGAGAATAGTATAAAAGGTGAGTGCCTTCTCTGGGCTGATGGCTCAGAGCTTGGACCCTGTTTCTGATTCTGTGTCTCCCTCTCTCTCTGCCCCTCCCCCGTTCATGCTCTGTCTCTCTCTGTCCCAAAAAATAAATAAACGTTAAAAAAAAAAAAAAATAAAAAAAAAAAAAAAAAGGTGAGTGCCTTTCTGTCCTAAGCTTTTTGCTTGAGGAGGATTGCAGATTTGGCCCTGAGCTTCCTAGTAGTCAATGCAAAGAGGAAAATTTTATCAGTTTTGCCAGTACCTATGAAGTGAAAACAAACTGGCTGTTCAGTGAAACAGTTGTTTTTGTTACTGAGACCAGAGAATTCTCCAGTGGTTTCTCCAAAAGAGGATCCTTTGGTACAGTGAGTGACATTGTTATCAGTCTTCGTACATGTGACCTGACTACCTCACAGAAAATGCCCAGGACAGTAAGAGCAGTGGCCTCTGGAGCTGCAACCCTGTATGCCAGGGCCAGCTTCCTTAGACAGCAGGAGAGATTTTTGTTACAGGAAAGCCGGTTTTCTGCCTGCTCTATGGTGGGAATAGAGGATACGGTTGTTAACATGTTGAGTCCTCCACATCCTTGTAGTTTGAGTTTTGTTGGATGGGGACAGTTTGCGGAGGAGGCCAGAGAGCTTGCGTTCCAGTGGACGGGAGGCTGGGAGCTCAGCCAAGCTCCTTGTAGACGTGGTAGTTGCATCTCTTTTGAGGCCTTCTGAAGACCTGCTTGATGAGTTAGAAGACTGGCCTTGCTGCACGGCTGTCGGGTGGTCCCAGTCAGCCTGTGAGTGAGCGAGTGAGAAAGTGAGGGGAGCAGCCTGGCCACAGCCCTCCCACCAAATTGATTTAGAGGGAGCCAGTGGCTCCTCCTCAGGCCCTGGAGGACTGTCTCTAACTCTAAGCAGAACAGAGGGAAGTCGCCCTAGGAGGAAAAAGAAAGGGGCTGCTGGTGCCCGAGCATCCTGAGGATGGCATCAGCCCATTACCAAGCCACGGGAAACACGTTTACCCTCCATAGCTTTGAACCTCTTCTTCCTTTTCACTTGGCTTGAACCTTCAAAGGAGGTGGACGCGGCGCTCAGGGTGACCTGCCCCACAGGGAAAGACAGGGTCGGTGTGGAGGACTAAGGGACTTGGGGTCTTCAGCCAGGGAAGGAGCAGGTAGAATGGCGGTTGCTCTTGGCTGTTGACCTCCCAGTCTCAAACCTGTGGCTCAAAGCCACAGCATTCCTGGCACCCACCCCGCTCTGAGGCAGGCCCTGGCCTCTTGTGACTGCCCCTTTTGTTGGCCTCCCCCACATATGTATTTACCCCCAACACGGTGCTTCCCACGCCTGGATTGGCTTCTGCCTTTAAGCTTCTTTCTCCCATAAATTAGTTCCCCCAGAAGCTTTCCAACAACCTGAGGATGTTGGATCCTACCCCGCCCCCTCCCCTGTTCCTTGTGGGCAGTTTTATGTTTTTAGGGAAAGAGCAATAGTACTAAGAGCCTCTTTGTCTGGTTCTCTGGCC